CAAGCGACGCGGGCCCGACCGCATAAGACACGACCACTCGGCCAACCTCACGTGACAGCACTATGATTATCTCGTCCGAGTCCTCTACGGCGATGAAACCCATAAAACGATGGTCCATGGACTGCGCGCGAGCGCTTCATAATAGGAAATGAGCCGTAGTGATTATAATTGCCCAACGTATTGCCGCGAGAGACACATAAATTGTTACCTGCTTCTCAGGCTGTGACTGGGATTACGATAAACCCAATTTCTTCTGCTGAAAACGAGGATGTAGTGTCTCTGTACGAAGAAAACCCATGACATGTGCGCAACGTAACGGCAAGGCATATTCTCTCCCATTTTCTTGCTTCTGGGCGCTTGCTTTCTCAAGACAAGTCGCAACACTGCGCCGCTTGGTTCGGCAGCGAGCTTAGCAAACATGTTACGACAATGCCGCCTATCCGCCTAGGGTGCCTAGGCCTGGAGGGCCACACACCACACCTATTGACCGAGCAGCGCCGGCCCGGGGCGCAGTGGGGCGCGGTGTCATTCGCAGACGCTGCCTCCGGTGCGAACTCCTCGTGCAGGCGCCGCTGGAGCGTCCAGCGGGAGTTGGAGGGCTCCGTGGCCTGCGTGAGTCGCAGGGGAGTCGGCGCCGCGCAGAGAACGACCTCGGGCGTGGCGAGCACCTGGTGCGCGACGCTGGCCTCCGAGTTGAACGCGCGGAAGTACCTGGGATGTGCGTGGCGGTTCCGGGCGTCGCGCCTCGTCGACCCCCTCTCCGACCATCGGCGTCGGGCTTCCGCGCGGGTCGGCGCTCCTGGGCCGTGAATTCCGTCCGGGACGAGAGGCGCGCCGGGGCGCCCGCGGCCACCGCGCCCAGCTCCCGAAGGTGGTCCGCGACGAAGAGCTTGAGGTCGAGGGGCGTCGCCGGGCGCGCGTCCCCGAAGATGCGGAGCGGGAGCGGCAGCCACCACCACTTGACGCCCGAGAGGTCCGACTCGAGGAGCGCGCCCCAGTCGATCGGCACGTAGGGCTGGCCCTCGCGGCCGCCCTCGGGCCGCCAGTAGACCCCGAGGACCCGCCGGAACATGGGCCCGAACGCCGCCAGGAACGCGCCGCGCGCGCCGTAGAACACAAAGTCCGACCGGCAGTGCACGGCGCCCGGCGCCGGGCGCAGCGACGCGTACGGCAGCGGCGCGCGCTCGTCCAGGTCCGTCCGCGTCCGCACGAGGACGTCGAAAGCCTCGAGGCGCGCGCCGAAGGCGTCGAGCGCGAGGTCCAGGAGCGCCCACTGCCACACCTGGCCGTGCACCTTGCGCTCGTCCATGGCCGCGCCGAAGTGCGAGTGGCCCAGGCCCACGTTGTGCCTCGCCAGGAGGTGCGAGAGGGCCGCGGCGTCCGCGTAGACGGCCTCCGCGCCGAGCGCCTCGGCCTCGGCGCGGAATTCCGGGTACGTCGCGACGAAGGTCGAGAAGTCCGCGAGGTCGCGCCGGAGCTTGGCCCGGTGCGCGTCCCCGAACACCCGCAGCTGGCCCGTGACTAGAACGGCGACCTTCGTCCCCGACGTTTCGTCGGGCGCGCAGCGGCTCGCGAAGTCCCGCTCGCGGAGCCAGCTGGCGGCCACCACCCGCGCGCCGTCGGTCGTCTCCTGGCCCCAGACCGTCGTCCGCGGCACCTCGAAGGTCCCCGGCTGCGTCGCGATCAAGTGAGCGGCGTTTGCCGAAGCGGCCGCCTCGACGGCCGCGCGCACCGACGCTTCGCAGTCGCCGCCCAGCTGGGCGTCGCCGCAGAAGTGGCCCGCGACGCGGGCGTGGTCGGCGTCGCCGCGGAGCTCCACGAAGACGTGGGGAACGATTTCCATCGTCCCGCCGCGCAAGACCCGCCAGCGCGCGGGCACGTCGAGGCCCTCCAGGTCGACGACCTCCGCGAAGTCCTCGTGCGCGGCGCAGTGCCGGCCCTCCCCGGCGCCGTGCGCGTCGTAGTGGGCCGCGAGCGCGCGCGCGTCGCGGCCGAAGGCCGCCCGCACGTCCGGGTACCGGTCCGCGTACGCATCCCAGTCGCACGCCGGCGCGCGGCGGCCCATTTCGGCGGACCGCCGCAAGTACCGCCGCTTTGCTTGCTAGGCTAGGAGAGGTTAACAGCTAGAGGGCCTACCCGGGGGGGTTGCGGCACCAGCGTCAGCGCCTAGGATACGCATCCCCCGTGTCCTCCTCCTCCTTAACCTAGCTTCTAACGCCCCGGCTATGGTTCACCTCATCTGGCGGACGCGGCGGACGCGGCACGGGGTCATTTTATTGTTCCATCGCGTGATCTCACGGATCAAATAAGATCCCCGATGCTGGGAGAGCTCGACAGAGAGACACGACCTCGATTCCACGAACAACGAGGCCAGGCGCCGCGCACGGTGGCCTAACTGCGTGACCGCGCTGCAGGAGCCATCCGAGTTCCCTGGCATTCTGCGTTCCGCTACCTACGCCGGCTCGGGGTCGCTCTGGTGCCGTTTGCCTGGCGTAGTTGTTGTGCTTCGCCACTTGAAATCGTCCTTTGAGAGGGCTGCCCGAAATAGAAACGGCGCCAAACGGAGACGATGCTGGAGCTTCATCTTCGAAAGACCCCGCGGCCGCTGCAGCGGATGAGACGCTCGGGCGCTGCGACGTAGGTGCCGTCGTCGTGGAAGATGAGGTCGTAGGTGCGATTGCTGCGGTGGACTCTCGCGACGGTCGCGTTGGCCCAAGTGTCGTCGTTTCTCGCCGCCTCGACGACCTGCCTCGGCGCGAAGGGCTTCTTGCCAGCGATGATCTGGTGCCAGGGCTCCTGGAGGAGCATCATCAGCATCG